ACATACAGGTGTGGCATGTGTATTACATCGTTTTCACTCAGTGCTCCGTTGTCGTGTGGACGTGAATATTTAATCTAACACGTGTGTGGATGCAAATTTTTTTCAACCCGCAAAAAAAATCCAGGAGCGTTGTGTGGACGTAGCTTTACTCAAAATGAGGAGAGTAACTACAATAGTGATAGTGTCCAATAGATAGTGTCCACCAGCATTTTGACCAGAACTGAAGAAGCAGCTTGGATGAGCTGCGAAACGTCTTCAACCAAACTAACTTTTGTCCAGTCGACAAACTGAATTTTCTCCTCGCCATAACTACAACTGTACTTCATTGTTACTGCTCCTGTTACTTCATTTAAAATATATTATTTAAGTAGTAGGAGTGAAAGTATGCTGCTAGAAATGTGCAGTTTCTTTAAAAAGTTACTCTAATAAATGTAACTGAGTACTGTCAACCTCCTCTTGTGATCATGCACCATCAAATACACAACACGTATTTATTTCTCAGGTCAGTTTATTTGCACTGTTCAGTTGAAATGTATGTTTAAAACATTGAGTCTCATTTTCATCTTGAAGCTCCCGTTTTTTCCTGCTCCAGCCCTGCGCTCCTGTTACCCTATAAGTATCGCTAGAGCCGGCTCTTTCTGTCATGTATACAATAATATAGTATGCACTTCCAGCCATCTCACTCTTACAAATATTTAGTATACAGACTCCTCATGTTTATTCAAAGTACTGGGTTACACTGTTTGGGGAAGATAGCCAGATGAGGGTCTATCTGGAGGGAAAAAGAAACCAACTCCAAAATGAACAAATTGTGCCACAGACGGTGTAAAAACGCAAAAATATGCCCGGGTCGAACGCAGCTATTAGACTGTTCCAGTTTCCGCCATTTTGATTGGATTTGAACAGTGCATAGACAAGTTGGAATTCCATGACTGTAAATATGGCGGTGCGTGTGCGGTGGTGTGGGTGGTCTCCGCTCGCTATCACTGTACAACACACAGCTTCATTGCTATTTGGGAAAGGAAATTAATATGGGACAGGTTCACTGCACCAACCTGTTTGTGTACTTCCATAAAAAAGCAGAGAATTTCCACCTCAACTCAGACTTTGGCTTGTTTTTTACCAGCTGACGTCACACGGGGCAGACAGCGCAGATTCTGGGGCATTGGACGCAATTCTGGGTCTATGAAACAGATTTTCCATGGCATAAATTTATAATAAAAATGATTTAAAGCAGACCTATTGTGCAAAGTTGACTTTTTATTGACATGTTATAGTTGTTTCTCTTCACCATTTACTCACCCGAAGTTGTATTCGTGATTCATGAATGTCTGAGAAATCCTTTTAAGACACCATGTTGCCCATCAATCCCTGTTTCTCTTTTTCTTTTAGTTTCTTAATGGATTGGATTCTGCAGCATCCTGAAGTCATTTTGATACAAATGAAAACAAATCCACTGCTCATGTGATCGTCATCTATCCATCGGCGTTGCAGATTCATCAGCTCCCATGGGGCGCGGCAGTTTTCTAACACAGAAATCAGCAGACTTGTTTCTTTTATTAAGTTGTTTTAGATGAAAATTGCAATTTAAAAAGTGCAAATTATAATTAATGATCCATGGGTGTCATAGATTATTGCTAGAAGACACATGCACAACATGTCTCCAAGTAAAGCTTCCCAATGTACAATGGCAATTTTTGAGGGAAATGTATTATATAAAATCAGAGACCAGGGACCAACATTTGATCTTGAAAGGCAAGTTCTAGTAAAAACAACACAACAGAGAACAACAGGCTGTTAACGTCACATATGAACAGTTCTTCAGGTAACTATAGTATAAACAACAGAACAGAACAAGTTTACCAAACTCTCCATCTCACTCCAAATCACTAAATCCATTCAATTCTTCATCCTCGGTGTCACTTCTGAGCAACTCCGCAACCTCCGGAGGTAAACACAGCGCTGCCTCCTCCTCAGTGTCGCTGTCGTCAGACTCAGCATCAGTTCCGGTTAGAATTATTTCGGCCTTTCTGAATCCCGACAGGATGGTTTCAGCCAAGTTTCTTTATGTTTTTTTTATTTATTATTTTTTATTTTCAGTGGTACAGAAGTAATGGTGCGGTTGACTGACATGATACCAGACAGGACAGAGACTCTCTCTGCAGGAGACATGCGCAGTAGAGTGAGGTGACAGTGGTGCAGGAGGAACACGAGCAGCAGATACTCACACAAAAAGCCTAGAGCCTCTCGTGGCTGTCAGTGTGAAAATTTTAATATAAGTCGCACCGAAGTATAAGTCGCAGAAAACACCCAAACCATCAAAAAAAGTACGACTCATAGACCGAAAAATACACTACATTATATGATACAGATTACTCTGAAAAATTCATATTTGAATTCATCCATGTTTATCATTGTAAATTCCTTAATTCCTAACACCATTGCCTCTGAACTCCAACAGATGAGCTCAGGCCAAAGCTGGTTTCTGTTATGTTGTGTTTTTAAATGTGAACCATGTATGACTTTTAGGATGCTTCTATTGATCCATCTAAAATTCACAAACATAACGATGCTTTACAGAATCACGAGTGAACAATTGCCATTCTTTGCAGTGTTCTTTTTCTTTTTTTTTTTTTTTTTGTATTATGTTTGCCCTGTTCAAGTCCACATTAAAGTTTATTAAAGTTACTTCTATGGAGTATTAACTTCTAACACGTAACGTATTTAGATCACCGTGTTAACTTTGTCACTCCCCCTGCATTTCGCTAATGAAACTACTGCACATCGCATCAGGTTTGTCAAGTTGTCGTGCACAGTTGTGTCTCATGTTTTTGTAGATTTATGGAGAATTGTCGTGTTGGAGAGTGGGTGACGGAGGCTTGTGGGCGGAGCTTTGCACAGAATCCTACAGCTAAACGTAAAGAGGGTTCGAATAGGGCTCAGGAGAGATCGCTAAATTACCCAGACATGCACGGATGATGTATGAAACCCCTTGAGGAATGTTTCTGATGAGAGAGATGAAAAAAAAAAAGGTTTAGTGTAGTACCACCGCTTAAAAAAAGAAATAAACTAATAAAATTTGTGGGGCCAATTTCTGCAACCAAAAAGTAAAATGGCTTAGGTTGAGTTCAATGGAAAGAAAATACTCTTCATACGACCTCAGATGACCTGTTAAATATGTGTGTGTGTACAGATTTTAGTTTTTATTATTTTTTATTATTATTAAAATACACGTACTATGAACTAACCAACTTAAACTGAACACCTTGTACAACCGACGACTTTTTGAGACTTTTTAACTTTTTAAGGCTTCAAGGCTAAATACCTATGACCACTTTCAAAGGCGTGAAGTTTTCATGTACTCTTAGGCTACGTTTACATTAAGATGGTCTGAACAGAAGATGCAAAAGTGGCGTCGAGTCTTCACTTTTTATTCCGTGTTTAGACGAGCGTTTTCGGGAGGAAAGGAGGATCTGCTTGCATACGGTGACGCAAAAGTGTGTGGAATTCAATTGTGTATGCATGTACTTAAAGCAACAAGGGCGTCTTTGCACATACGGAAGTTTTCACGCCGCGCATTTTCATCAGCTTCTCCTTCGACAAAGTTGTCCCACCATCGACTGGTTCAATCTGTGTATTATTCGTTTAATCATTTTTCAATATACAACCAAAAATAAGAAAACTTAAAAAACAGCTGTTTTCTTCATTATTTGTCTCCGAAACCAAAATGAGAAAACGGATAACGATTTGTTTTTTCATTTATCGATTTTGTGTGAATAAACAACGATAACAGCCCTTTCCCATTTCCGTGAGTTAAACTGCGATGCACTAGACTAAAAAAGGACTAAACAGGACTGAACAGGTCTAAACCAGAACTAAACCAGAACTAAACCAGGTCTCAGTCCCAGTCTGAGTCCCAGTCTCCATCCTTGTAGTAGTCCCGGTCTAGTCCCAGTCTGGTCCCGGTTTCCCGAGCACCCGACAGTCTACACAGGCGCACGTATGGGCCGGTTCCCACACTCCTGGTTCAGTCCTGGTTTAGTCCTGGTTTAATCCTGGTTCAGTTCTGGTTTAGTCCTAGTTTAGTTCTTGTTTAGGGTTGAGACCGGGACTGAGACTAGGACTGAGACCAGTTTAGTCCTGTTTTAGAGCTGGTTCAGTCACAGAAATGGGAAATGGACGTTATCCATTTTTTCCATTATTCATTTAAACACAAAATCGAAAACTGAAAAAACAAAACATTATCTTTTTTTCATTTTGGTTTTGAAGACAAATAATGAAGAAAATAGTTGTTTTTTCATTTTCTTATTTTTGGTTTTATTTTGAAAAAACGAATGATACACGGATTTTGTTCTCCAGTCTCGTCCATATCCGTCTGACTCGCCTGCGACGAACTGATGCATCCAGAATTTGACAGAGGTGATTGCAGATCCTTCTCTGTTCACTAATAGTATCTCTGCAAATTCTGTACATTTGTTGGGCCATTTGTTTCTGTGTACTGTATGTATGTGACGTAAAAGTGTACGCGATGTGAGCAGATTTGACCAGAGTTTTGCGTCTTAGGCAGTGTAGATGGAAAAGCTTCAGCGGAGCGTATTAAACTTTTCCACTCTGGAGGGTGGTTTCAGATTTTTGCATTTTTAAGCCGAAAAACCGTCTAAACAAAAGGCACTTCCGATAAAATATTTTGTCGTTTTTACATGCAACCGTTCTCGTGTAAACAGGCCCTTAAAGGTGGAAATCTACATTATCAAAATCATTCCTGAACTACTTGTATTTTTGGAAACACACTACCTACAAGCAGAGTGAGACATGCTGTTTTAATCAACATCTTGGTATATTTAAAGATGAACAAAGTTATTCTTTTTATTTACAATACAGGAATAAAAATATTACTTACATTACAATGGTAAAAACAACAAAAAACTTAAATAATTATTTTATTTGTGTAACTACTTAAATAAAAATAATGAAAATGGTTATTCTATTCACACCACGCCGTCTGAGCAGCTACAATGCAACTTTCACATTAAGTGCTAAAAAAGTATAGTTTTTTATTTTTACAGTATGAATTCCATTTTGTGTTGATTTCATCCAGCAAAAAAACGATCATGTGGGCGATACAAAAGAAAACTATCTTCGGGTTTTGGTTTAAAGGTGCACTGCGTAACTTTTCAAGTGGAGGGTCCGTCACCTGCTTGTCTCCATGGAGATGTTATTGTTTTTATTTGTCTAGAATGTTCCACGGTAGAGATTAAAACAACTATATTCTATATTACAGGTCAGATTTTTGGACTAAATTATTGTATTTTTGATGTGTTTAAAGAGTTTGATGTGATTTTAGATGAGTTTAATGCCATACCAGGGAACATTCCAGGCAAAATAATAACATCTCCATGGAGACAAGCAGGTGGCAGACCCTCCACCAGAAAAGTTGCGCAATGCATCTTTACGGATACCAGCAAAAGAGGTGGTGACTAGCAAATATTATAATTTCAAAATTTCAAATAAAGATGTAAAAGATGCACTGTGTAACTTTTCTGAATGGTTGGCCACCTGTTTGTTTCCATGGAGATGTTAATATTTTTCCCCGGAATATTCTAAAGGATGGCATTTAAAATAACAACCTCCATGGAGACACAGGTCAGGTCAGATCTGTGGAGAATCTGTAGTTTAGAGAAATAAGAGATAGAAGATATATTTCTGTAAAGCCATACTGTGGAACATCCCAGGCAAAGCAATAACATCTCCACGGAGACAAGCTGAGGACAAACCCTCCGTCAGAAGCATTGCACAGTGCAGCTTTCATAACGTAACTAGAGCCATACCATATGACGTGTGATGAGTGTTTATGGCGGCTCCGGGCTCAGTGTGTGGAGGGGCTGAGGCTCCTTCACTCTTTAAACGACTCCATTAACAGATGCTTGGAGATAACGTGGCCTTGGCTGTGATGGTCTGACAGCGCGTGTCCCAGACAGGGCTGATGAAGCGCGTGTTACTCAAGAATTACACGGACTCCACCGGCTGCTCTAATTGACTTTATGCAGGCACAGACATGCATTTAAAGAGTAGAAAACAATACTTATAGCCTTGTGTTTGAGAAGAACAGAGTACAAGAAACATGAACTGACGAGCTTTGTGTAAAACTTCTAGAAACACCATTCTCTCCCATATATTATTAAGCTTACAAAAATAAACCTCCTCTATGATAACAATAATAATGCTATAGTTTTGCAATGCTAAGTAGTACTTAGGTAAGCTCTACTGTATTGGAAATATACAACATGAAGCTGTGGTGTCCCTTTGATGAACATGGTTCAGTTTTTGTGTGAATGGTGCTAAACCATTAACTTGTTAAGTTCATTTGTAGTTATAGTGAACCTTATGATGCAGTGCATGGGAGCTCATTACTCCATCAGGTTTTAGGACTGCTGTGAACAGGCTCTGTTCAGTCTCCACAAATATTGTGTAAAACAGCCCTCTGCTGTTCTGTAGCTGATGGAAAATCAATACAACAGTTTACACAGTATGAGCATGTATGACATGGTGCCAACGCGCTTATGGAGCCTGGTAAGCACAGTCCTGCAGTCTCATCTGAGTCGATTCACCAGGATGTGGGTCCCTCAGTGACACTGTCCTTATGTTTAAACTCACACCGCTGCATCCTGACAGAGCCCAGAACACAGAGCAATAGTCTCCACTGAAGCCAGTGTCTATGGGGCTGGAGTAAGGCAACATTTCAGCTGTCCCTGCCAAAGTCTTGAGCTGCTCACTGAGAGTGAACCGATTCTCCGTCAGCAGGTGGTGTTTTCAGAGGGCCATGCTCGTGAAGGATTATGTCACAGCTGTGAACAAGGCTTGGATGCCAGGCCTGGTGCTCTAAAGCATGTAGCTTATAGGTGAGTGGGTGGAGGTCTGGTGTGGAGGTGTGGAGTGTGCTGCTGGTGCTAGGTAGATCTGTGTGGAGCAGGGGAGCTCAGCCCTATACGATGTAACTGGTCAGGTCCAGTAGATAGGACGTCATGTCCATGATGTGGTCGATGATGCCGTCTCTCTCCTGGTCGTTGGGCATCCCTCGCTCGCTCTTCTCGCACATGTCTCCAGAGTACCCGCTCTTACACAGGCACCTGTTGGGCTCCAGACACACGCCGCCATTACGGCAGCCTGGCTCACATTTGGCTGCAAACAAACACAGAAGAAGACAGGGTTCACTTTTACTGTCACATTCTGTTACTGCTGGAGATGACACACATTACAAAAAGTAGTAGAACTGGAAGAAAAATACTTCATTAATCAAACTGCATTTTGTTGCTATACTTGTAGTAGTAGTGTATTCTCATTACTAATATCATACACACACAAATGTGTAAACTTGCTGATTGTTGCTACACTGAAGGTCTGTCTGTGGCAGTGAACTTTGTGTCCATATAAATCACTCACTGTAAATCTGTTTATGAAACTTTCATGTCATTTCTGGGATCTCTCCATCATGAACAGACAGTTATTAGTAGAAAGTAGCATATCATAGTGCGTTTGTCCCACTCACCCACTCTACAGAGGGGCCCCTCCCAGCCCGGGCTGCAGCAGCACTTGCCCGTGGGGGTGCAGTGCCCGTTCTTGCAGTGTCTGGAGCAGGCTGTCATCAAGAGCTCTGGCGGCTCCACAGTTCGATGGCACTCTTTTGGAGTGTACGGCCTGGAATCACAACAATGACAATAATGTTAACACCTGCTCCACTGTCCTTTTAAAGGGAATTCCTGGAGCCCAGTGTGAGTGTACTGTGTGACAGTGTGTGTACTGTGTTAGAGCACAGTGTGAGCACACCGTGAGAGCACACAGGGTGAGCTCACACAGTGTGATTGTACAATGTGAGTGTACACTGTGAGAGCACAGTGAGAGCACACAGTGTGAGTGTACTGTGTGAGTGTACAGTGTGAGTGTACTGTGTGAGTGTACAGTGTGAGTGTACTGTGTGAGTGTACTGTGTGAGTGTACTGTGTGAGTGTACTGTGTGAGTGTACTGTGTGAGTGTACAGTGTGAGTGTACTGTGTGAGTGTATTGTGTGAGTGTACAGTGTTAAAGCTCAATGTGAGCACACAGTGAGAGCACACAGGGCGAGCGCACACAGTGTGAGTGGGAGTTTGCAAAAGGTGACAAAGTGCAATTGTCAGTTGTTTGACATTGAGACTTTTTGTCTTTCTTGGCTCCCTCTCCCTGAGTTCACTCTATGCTTGATGAGGAAAACGGTCTTTTCATTTGATATAAACATGATTTGGAGAATGCAGACAAACACATCCCTTGACCATATGTGTGATGTCTACAGCAGAGAAGAGCGCCGTTGTGATCATTCCATAAAAGACTCACACACGCACATTGTTTCATATCAGGCAAAGTCTGGAAATAATAGTTGGTAATGAAGCTGAGATGAAGAATGTGGGTGACAAATGCACAAATAAAAATGTTGAAACATCTAAGACGTATTTATGTTTAGCTTCATTTATTGAACACTTCAATATGTCAGTCTGATTTTATTTAGTTATGATATTATAGTTGTTATACTGGTCTTTCAGATCATTGTACAATCCCTTTGACAATAATACACGGGCTCTACAGCAGTGGCTTATCTAAAAGCAACAAGCCTGTTACTTTTATTCAGAGAAAGCCAGTGGGGGTGATTCCCATGCTCCCATCAGCACCCAACACCAGACACCATCAGGCTGCTTTTGTTGTTGCAGGCTGCATGTAGTTAAGGAAAAAGTGAAAGAGGAACGCAAACAGAAAGAGAGGGAAAGAGAAAGAGTCCCAGAAACAAACAGAAAGAGAAGGAAAGAGAAAGAGTCCCAGGAGAGATAGGGGTCTGTAGCTCACACTGTTAATAGCAGGAGAGATGGGGGTCTGTAGCTAACACTGTTAATAGCAGGCAGGGGTCAGCGCGCTCCTAAACACTCTGTATGACTGCCAGGGTGGCTGTGAAAACAGCACCTGCTGGTAGCTCCACTTGACAAAGGCAGCTGGGTCAACAGCCACTGTGGGAATTTATCAACTGTTTGAGGGGTGTGAAGGAGCCTGGACGTGGGAGAAGGGCCACACTACTTTATATGAACTGGCAAAAGCAGGATACATGAACTGTTATGTAAACTCTGGAAATGAGAAGGTAATTAAAGGGCCAATATTACGGCTATTTTCTGATCTGATAATTTTGTTTCCTCATCACAAACATACCTAGAGTTGGGTTTTGTTTCATTCACATGTTTAACACACAAACTCTGCATATTTAGGTTGAGTTTATGTTCTCAAACCGAAAACACTCTAATCCACCATGGGATGTCATATGTATTTTTAAACTTCATCCACTTTCGCTAAAATCATTTGGAAGATTTCAGCCCTGAAATTTCTAATATCTACTGAACGAAAGTTAAAAGGCAGCTGTTAACCTCAAAACTACCACTTCATGACATCACAAGGTGGAAAAGAGCATTTTGAGCTTTGGAGATGTAGACAGAGTGTTACTCAAACACGTGTGAATGAAACAAAACACAACTCCAAGTACATCATTGGTGAAATAACAAGATTATAACATGGCTCAGAGCTCACAAGAGTCAATTATTATTATTATTATTATTATTATTATTATTATTATTATTATTATTATTATTATTGTTGTAGGAAAGGCTGGCTGTGCTGCTTGATTGACATTAGGTGTATGTGAGAACGCGGCTGTGGAGTGGTGTACATTGTATTCTCTGACAATGACTTAATCAAATGGCCCAGTGTGGTCTCTATTGCCGTTTTGTCATCTGACTCCATTGTTTGGGGCTTTCTTTTGTAGCTTCATTCCTTGTTTTAATTGTGCTAAAAATTTACTGTGTATTGTAGAGGCCAGAGCTATTCAGTGGACCTGGCACGCAGCTTTGTTACGAGGAGGACCATGGCAGAGGTGGAGGAAGATTTAGGAGCATTGGGAAAATAAAGAAAGGCTTTTTCTTGGGCGCGCGGGGAGCTGACAGATGTGCATGTTCACGTGCACACCCCACCCACGGCCTTTATATCTGTACACAACCACCATGAATATATTCAGCACGCAGACACCACTGCTGTACATCTGTGATTTGTGACTTCCATCCATCGCTAATGCTCTTCATAAAGGAGCTCCCAGGATCCCATTCACACTTTACTGAGTCTCTTTAAGCTCCAGCTCACTGTAACTGAATAGTGCAGGCTGCAGCTGACAAACCCAAATGTGTGACGGGCCATTCAGGAGGCTTCAGTTCAATTTGTAAAAGTAAGGTCAGAAAGGCAAGTGAAAGAGTGAGTGATGCACAGTTTCCAACAAACTGGTGAGAATCTAAGTATTTATTTGTATTTTATATTTGTATTTTATATTTATATGTTACTAAGCCACTGTTTAGCCAGGTAAAGCTCATTCTGAGCTGCCATTGTGCAGAGAGACGAATTCTCACGATATTTGTCACAAACTCACAGAATCCATCTTGTCCGGCTCCAGCTGTTGCGATTGGGCCCAACCCACCAATGGTTCGGAGACTGGACCAATCACAGGGCAGCACTGTGCCCAAACAAACCAAAACAAACACAGTGATGCTGATGGACGTTCTCCAGCCTATTTAAGCCTGTGCTTTTGTCTCAACTGCATCTAACAAAGTTTGACTTGTCGGCTTGTTCAGCTGTTGTGATGCTTCTCTAAGGGAACAACGGAATCAAAACAAAAGGTTCTTCTCAAGGCATTTATCCGACTGTTTTACAAGAGAACATAATGTTTTTAATATTTTAAGCAGCAGAAAAGAAACATCTTGGTATAACACCAAGTTCATATGAGAAAGAGGCTGTCAAAGTGGAGATCCTTGACTGTGCAGCACAGTGTTCTCCAGTGCACAGAGGCTTTAACAAGTCTGTGGTAGATCAGAGCACAAGAGCACAGAATAAATGTCACGTAGACGCTGTGTTTGAATACTACCTTTAATAAATGTGTCTGTGCATAAATCAGCTGAGACACTCACAGTTGAGACAGTCAGAGTTTGGACTCTCACAGTTTGGACACTCAGTCACACACAGAGAGGGGAGGACTGAGAGGACAGAGAGGGGAGGACTGGTCAAACCCTGAGCATCCTCTGGTCATCATGTGTGATTTATGACTGGAAACATTTCCCTTCAGTGCCTCAGTACAAACAGGCCCTGTCTTGCTCTCTCTCATAGACACACACACATGCAGCATGTTACAAAATGCATGGTGGCCTATTTATTATTGGAGGGGTACTCCAACTGACAAACAAATACCTAGAAATGAAGTCATCTGGCCAGGACATGTTTACACAAACACTGCTGGGATTTTATAGCCAAAGTTTCCCTGTACGCCTTTACTACACTGCTGAACAATTCCTCGTTCCTTCTCTGTTCCCAAACACACAGTTGATCAAAACACAATGCTATAGCCGACCACAAAACCACCATATTCTTAAACAAAGCTCTTTCTAAGAGGCCTGAAGATCCAGATGTACGAGAGTGAAGCAGAAGGACCACCAGACGTGAAGAGGTCAGACACACGTTAGCCTCTTAGCAGTGCTGTCCTTCACTCTGCCTCTCTCTGAAACAGGATCCTAATAATGAAGCAGGAGTGGATTAGGAGTCAGCCTCCAGCTCCACGGACTCCAAACAGACTAAACAAGTCAGTCAAGTTAGTCCAGTCGATGATGGAAAGACAAGTGTGTCCAGCAACCAGCCCACATAACATAAATACACTTGGGGCCACCAGTGCCATTAGATATCCCACTGTTGTCTTTAATTGTGCTCATTCCTGGGTGGCGCTGCCGTCACCCAGATACAATCCTTTACTCCTGCCGTTGGTCAAGCTCACTGCAGATCCCAAATATGTATTATTATTATTAGTATTATAAAGATAGCAATAAAGTGGAAGTGAAGAAGTGTGATGTATGTTGATGGATTTTAAAGACAACTACAATTTGAGCAAGATTTTCACTGGGACGATCCAACCAAAAGGCCTCAATTTAAAGATGAGCTGCGTAACTTTTCTGGTAGAGGGTTCAACACCTGCTTGCGTCCGTGGCGATGTCATTATTTGTCTGCAATGTTCCACAGTAATGTTCCACATACTGTGTCTATCTTGCATTTATTCAATTACGAGAGTATTTCGACAAACATGAGTTCTTACTGAAAACGGGCTTGCCTCTCCACAGATCTGACCTTTAATTTGTCCCGGTGACGTGAGGGTTTGTTTCCAGGGAGGCTGATACGTTTAATGCTCTACTGTGGAACATTCCCGACAAAGCAAAACATCTTACCCTCAATATAGTACGCAAAATAGAACAATAATTTTAGGGGGTCAGTTTTTTATCGTGGTACGTTTTCTCTTTTTCTAGTCGGGAAGTTATTGTTATTATTCTGTACGATGGTAAGATTTGAGCTCTAGAAAGTTCTATGACTCGTTATTAGGGATGAGACGAGATACAATTTCCGCAAGACGAGACGAGATACGAGATTGGGTCCATGAGAACGAGACAAGACGAGATTTTTACATTTCTAATATTTATAATTTCGTGATTCAGTTTCCAGTTTTGGTTTCACAATTTCTTTCTATATTTGATTTCATATTTTGGTTTCTACTCTAGTGCTGCTTTTTGGAACTGTAAGAGATGTAACTCACCAACACATAATCCTTTTT